TGTGCAAACGACCGTACTGGAAGCGCGTTTGGATTCAACAAGAGGTATTCCTCGCCAGAAGCCTCTTCATTATGCACGGTCGGTATCGTCTGCTTCGTTTCGGAGATTTCGATAGCCAGGTGGCTCTGAGTATGCACAGAAAAAACCCTTTCCCTAGAGGTGTAGCTGCAAAGATCAGGGGCAGTGCTGCGAGCGCAATTGTTATGAGAAAGCATGTAGGTTCAAGTCTAAGTCCATTAGCAACATGGCTACGAATGGCGTGCGAAAAAGACCTCCAAACTTCCGAACCGCGCGATCTCATCTATGGTATGCTGGCAATCAGCTCTGATTGTCAAGACGGTGGCATTGAACCCGACTATGACAAACCATTGATAGATGTTTATCTTGAAACGGTCTTGTTCTGTGGACTTCACCAGCCAGGGCAGGAATTTCCCAAACAACGTTTTCTAAAGACGTTAGCTGGGAAGCTTGGGTTGTCATGGGACAGTGACATGGAGACAAGGATGCAGGAGTATCGTCAACAGAAAGTCATAGTACAGCCGGAAGACTAGATCAAAGCCACGTCCCTAGTTCTTCAGAAGACTGAGCATGCTAGGAGTAGACAAGCCTTCCATAGTCGCTGAACTGGTGCCTGCGCATACACTGACGACCTCTACGCTGACTCATGGATTTATCGTTGTAACTACATCTGTACGTTTTGACTCGTTCAATGCAACCTATCTTGTACTCTAGTCGATGCAAATTGAGTACATTTAGCTAGAGCTTATTACACTCTTGTGATATACACCTTGAAAGGTCACTGCCGTAACAAACATGCACAGATAGATGTCGTGAAATGTTATGAATTCTACAAAACCCGAGACCAAACCACCCAACACCTCAAACCCTCACCACCACACTCAAGTATCCCAACGGCAGCGACGACCAACTGACTCCACCATCTCCTCTTCCTTCCTCTCCGCCTCCCCGGCCTCCTCCCACACCAGATCCCTCTCCCCGCCCTCATCTCCCCACGCACCCTCCCCAAACCAGCTCCCCGCCCTCCTCGCCACGTCCTCCACCCACCACTCGAAGCAACGGGACTTGTAGAGCTCATCTTCGAGCTCGACGACCTCTTCGGTGAACTTCTGCACCATGTGCAGTGCGAGGCGGCGGCTGTCGCGGCGGCGCCCGCCGATGGTGCCGTCGGCGCGGGGAGCCAGGACAACCCTCCAGGCGCGTTTGAGCTGGGATGTGAATTAGTTATTGTGCTTCTGGACATTTGAGAAAGAAGAGGGATTGGGGAACGTACTTGTTGGCGCCTCTCCACCACGTCAACTTCGATCTCGTTGGCCGCGCGGATTGGGCTTGTCTCGCTCTCGTAGTGGATTGCGGCGGCAGCGACGTGCGGAATTGAGGAAGACATTATGTAGACTTTGTAGATTGTGTAGTATGGTTTGTGTGGGTGTTGTCGTTTTGGAGACGGTCTGGCGGCGTGACGAGATAGCCCTCCACCACCGTCCACCCTCACTGTCACCTTGTATCCTACAAATCCCCGTTCACCACGAGTAGACAGCTCCTATTGTACTACTTGTATACCCCAAACGGGTCTATTGTCTCCAGGAAAGCGCACTGAAGCTACACTGGTAAACACCAGGCTACCTTGAACCCATGTTGTCACCTCCTCACATTGTCTTGTAGCAGTCCGCACACACACAGTTACGCAACAGTAAAGCTGCTACCATCGATACCATAGTTTCTCGTCAACCTCCTCCCGTAATTCCTTGCTACCTCAAACCTTAACTTCCCCTCAGGATGCGGCTCGTGGAAATTGATTGGCTGCCTTGCCTTAATGACACCTCCCTCTCTCGGTGTGAAGCGCCATACAGAGCCATACACTTTCTCGGGTGAGAAGCCAATCGTGTTCATAGCTGAGAGGAATTCAGTCCACGGGACTTCACCGGGATGCGAGCTTGCAGACGGCTGGAAGAATATAGTCGAGAATGTGTGCTGTGTCTTTTTCCCAACGGTGAAGCGCGGTGTAGGCGGAGTGTTTGTTTCCTCAGAAGCGACTGGCTGCAAGTCTGCTGCGACTTCGACAGGCTCAGTGGAAGGATCATTCGCAATCCCCCTGGTCTTGCGCTTCTCACTCCGAATTGGGAGGTCTACAGGGTCGGGCTGCTGCTCCGGTATGAGAGGCGTAATGTATTCCTGCAGGGCAGCATCTTTCTTCGCTTTGTTGGAAGGTTTCGCCGGTTCTATCCAGTCTGGCGTCCGTTGTATTTGTCCTCTTGACGGCGCTAGGAATTCAAGAGCCTCGAGGTGTTTTTTATCCAAATACTTCTGCACGTGAGCATCGAACTTGCTCCAAAGCTCATCGAGCCGTCGTTCAGTAGCCTGCATAATCTCTACGTTCTCTTTGGTTCTTCGCTTGCCAACAGGGTACGGCATTGTCTTTGGATGCCCGAGCTCACCAAGAAGGAGAAAATCATATTGGCGTTTGGCATCGTATTCTGGACCGCATTCCGGGTCTAAGATCTCGTTTAGTTCTTTCACAGAAACCTCCATGACTATCTCGTGATAGTCGCGGTCGGCTCCAACGGTACAGTACTGCTCATCAGGTTTGAAAGCTTGTGGGCACACCAGGCGCAGGCGAGCTCGTAGTTCAAAACAAATAGCTAGGTCTGACACGAGCTATCAACGTGTACGAGGTCAGTGGCTATCTCATACGCATTTCTTACATGGGTAATGACTGACCTGTGCGACCAAGGGTGTGATTCTGTACTTCTGGTCCTTGTCCTGTTGTATAACTCGAGCCATTTCCCTGACTACAATATGAGGAACCCCAAGGCCTTCCTCAGACCAGAGCAAGGAACACAGCCATATCAAATAGTCTTTCCCAAAAGAGCTCGGGTCTCTGAGGAGGGGTAATTCCTCTGGAACTGCATGGTCACGTACGAACATGCCGCGCACCGATGGTGAGCCAATGAAGCAACTCGGCAACCGTGAAGCTAGGCTTTTGATAAGGCGCATATCAAGTAAATCTTTCAAGTCCGCGACAGCCTCTACCCATGCATCATGCCCTTCTTGTTTCTTCAACCGTGCCAACAGCAGCCGAGCAACCTTGTGTAGAGCAGCTTGTGCAGCATGCCACATGACAAGATTCTCGTAATAATCCATGATGATCATATATATCGTAATGTGCCAAAAGTCTTTTTGAAGGGCTGGATCAGTAAGATGGGGGCTTTTCCTTCCCTTCCTGTCCAATAGATGTGTAGAGCTGTGTTCATCTACATGCATCGGGTCAGCGTGCTTCAATCGATGCTCCTTACGGCGCCTCGCACTTACAGAACTCGCTAACAGCATTAGTGAAATAGGATGGATCATCGCGCATAGCCCAGGCATGGTCCTTCCACTCGTGTATTCTAGCCGCTATAGAGGACATGATTTTGAGAAAGTCGGTCCATTGTGGGGCGGTATATGGAATGTCTTGGGCTAGTGCGAAAGCCGAGTCCCATCCATCCTCTTTTGTCGTTCTTATTTCGGGGAGGCTCGGGTTGTTCGGGGGCTTGGAAGAAGGCCTTGAACCCGTCCAGACCACCTTCTACGTCGGGAAGTAGCTCAAGGCAGATCTTGACGAGGAAGGCCATCAGAGGCTGCTGTATCTGTAGGACGATAAGAGCCTCGCTCGCGCGCCTCACGTGTTTTTGAGATTCCAGAGCGACCGGAAGCTTGACCGGAAGCCCGTATTCTTGTAGATCAGTAGGATGCATCATCAGATAGTAACCCCATTCGCTGGGTTTGTATTTATCTTGCCATTCGCGTACTGTCTCATTTTCCGAACTACGTGAAACTTCCCCATCTTCGGGTTCCTTGCCGTTGGATTCGTCTTCCAATATAGCTTTGTGTTGGCCTTCGTCATTTGGGTCGTAATATATCGGACGCACCTTGATAACATTGATGTTGCGACCGAGCTCTGAGCTTTGCCAATCCATCTCGGCAAAATTGTTGGGTGTATACCGTCCGCGAGAGTTCAGAAGCTGTAAGACATGTGTTGAAGTCACGAGGTCCTCTGTATTGATATATGGCCATTTGTATACATCTTCTCTGATCGTGGAAGTGGAAGCCTCGCTGAACTCTCGTCTTTCGACTCTGTAGTAGTCGCGAAGGTCTGGGCGATGCTGGTGTGGCATTTGCGTGTGCCATGATCGTTCAAGAATAGCTTTACGTTGAGTACGCGTCTTATTTGTCCATCTCTTACGTATAACGCCCTCGGATCTTATCAAGATGGCGTTCAGCATGCCATAGTCGGCCATTATTGACTTGACTTTTCCAAATGTCTCTTTGTGAAATTCTCCATAGGGCATTGGCACCGTTTGACCACTGTCAAGGAGCCGCCAGGGTCTCTCTGCGGGTTCTATTGGTTTGGGCTTGACGAAGTTGGTACATTTTGGCTGTTCCATAGCTGGTCGCGGTTCCTCGAGGTCAACTCCTGAGGGGGACGGAGGAAGCTTTCACGTGAGATCCTGCAGAAAAGCTGATCAATGCTGATGCGGCGGTAACGTAAGTAACCATGTAGGGATTCAATAATGACGCCAGTTCCAATCGACAACAGCCGTGTTTACTGTTCCTGCGTTATTGCGAGAAGGAAGATGGGGAACGCGACAAAAGCGATCTGGTCGAATTGCTCGGGCCGACTGTCGCGCATTAGCCCCGCACTGCAGATCCCTACCACAAAAAGGGGCGATTTGACTGATCTCAGTAACGGATCGCAATGCACATGTCTTCTGAAGTTTTTGGTGCTGCGAAACTCCTCATTTGAGAGCAACCTGTTCCCGCACACTTCAACACATGGTCGAATAGATCCAACGACCGAATGTCCGACTCGACTTTCCTTGCGTATAAGTCGTATAGATTGCGGAAGATACAACTATGTCGAATAGAGATGAATGAACGGTGCCCAAGCAAACGCTACAACTGAATTAAAGCCATTCATGCCTCAACATCTCATGACCAACTCTTCACGCAGTGTTCCTCCCAATGCCAGCCTTATACCTAGCCAAGCACCTCTCCCTCGCAAACTTATGCTCAACAACCGGCTCGGGGTAGCCCTTTGCCTTCGCAATCTGCGCGGCCTTTCCACCCGCCGCATACGGATTATGTATAGCCGCCCCCTCCACCTCTGCCAGCTCCGGTAGCCACAGCTTGATAAACTCGCCCTGCTCATCAAACCTCTCCGATTGTGTCCACGGGTTAAAGATCCTAAAGTACGGTTGTGGATCTACACCTGTCGATGCACTGAAGCCCCAGCCGCCGTTGTTGGACGCGAAGTCGCCGTCGATGAGGTGCGTGATGAAGTATTGTTCGCCGAGGCGCCAGTCGAGGAGGAGGTGCTTTGCGAGGAAGGAGGCGGTTATCATGCGCAGGCGGTTGTGCATGTAGCCCGTGTGGTTGAGGCAGCGCATTGCGGCGTCGACGATGGGGTAGCCGGTCTTGCCTTGTGTCCAGGCTTGAAAGTGCGCGTCGTTGTACTCCCATTCGATGTTTGTGTATTCGAATTTGAAGGGCTTGTTCATGCTGGGGTTGTGTTAGTATGTTCATGGTATAGAGGGTATTGGTCGGTCATACCAAACGTAGGGCCAGTGTACAAGCACATGCCGATAGAAGTCCCGCCATGCGACTTCTCCCAACCAGCCTTTGACGCCATCCTTCCCTCCGTCGAGTCTCTTCGCGCTGTTGACGTCTCGAGCCATACGTATACTGGTTCGTGCCGCCAGCGTGCCAGCAGCGTGATGCACACTCACGCGTGCGGTGCTGTTCATCGCGGGAAAGTTGCGCGTGTCCTTGTATTTAACCACCTTTTCTTCCAAGAAGCGCTCGAGGCGATCCATAGCAGCGGCCTCACCCGCGGGCCACAGTTGCTGGAACCGTTCCTTCTCTTCTGCCGTCAACGCTTTGCACTCTGGTAGATCGGGGACTTTCGAGTCGAAGAGCTGGATAAACTTCTTGCGGAAGGCTGGAGGATTTCGTTGGGGCATGGGACGCTCACTCATAAGATGCGGATGCTCGTGCAAATGTGCAACCCATGATCGGAACCAAGGGCTGTACATCGCATATTGCTTTCCCCCTCCTGTCTTGAGACTACCAGGTGGTACCACGCAGTCGTCGTGGTGCGGCTCGAAGTTGATGCCCTTCTCCAGCATCATGCGTACCAAGCGCTCCTCCCGCCGAAGCTCGTCGGGTTCGTATTCCAAGTTGCAGAAGACGTTCTTCGCATTCCATTCTTCTGCCAACTCCACCAACCGCTTTGTCACGTTCTTTCGTTCGGGAATCGTTTCGATGTAGAGGGGGATGTTCAGCTCTTCGAGTTCCTTCTTGAGTGTCTCCACAGAGCGCAGTTCGAAATGACATTTTGGCGGGCTGACCAGGTGAGCCTCCCAGTCTTGCGGGCTCATGAACCAAACGCCTATCAGGCCTACTCCTTTCTTCTCCGCCAATGCTGCTGCTTCAGACAAGCCAGTATTATCTCCTATCCGCAGATCCCTCTTGAACCAGTGTACTACCGCGTCGCCATGTTGCCCTTTCTTCCCTTCTCTGATAGCCTTTCTTTTGTCTTTCGTATCCTCCAACGTCTTGTTCAGAATCTCGATCGGGCGCGGTACCTCATTCTGATTGTACAACGCGCATCGTTCATTGCTCATCTCAGCAGGATAGTACCGTCGATCCACGATGCCGGCTCTCTCTTCTGGTCTCGAATGGTCGAAACCTTCTTCCTCTTTCTTCACGGCCTCTCCAGGCGCCCCATTCTCGGTGTTCTTCGCTATAGAGTCAACGGGAGGCGCGTCTTTCGAGGTGGCTTTTGGGAGAGGTTTGGCGATGCGCGAGCGCTTGTTGGGGGCGTCGCCGGACACGTCGGTGTAGTTCTTCGCGGATGCCGCATTTGCGGGTATGCTCGCTTTACGTTTCGGTGGCATCGTGGCTAGTCTCTTTGCGGGGAAGGGTGGGTGTATGCGTAGGAATGGTTTGACGGATAACAGGAGCCTCGGACGCGAGAGCAGCATACGCGTTTCGTGGAACCGCAGAATGGGCGAGATGAGGATACCCTCCTGAAACAAGATTTAATGAAGCCATTGCCGTGTTAGCTCGACGCGTTCAGCTGTCGCGTCCCTTTACCACCGATCGATGACGCAGATGGTCCCTGGAACATGGAGAGTCCAGATCGATGCCAGATAAGCGAGCCGACCCCTGCATACTTCGAGCCGCACCATCACGTGTCCTCAGATACTTCACTCTCCCAACGCGACAAACAGTCAGCATTACAGGCTCCGCCAACATATCTCGCGATATTAGCACGCGAACCTAATTACGTATATTATGCTCTCACGACGCCTAATGCAGCGTTTTGAGCGACCGGCTCGCCTTTAGAAAGGATCATCACGCCTGCAACCTTGGCCTTGGCCGACTGTCTTCGTTCCTAACGATAGATGATTGGAACAGATTCGAGCATGGCGTAAGCAAGATATCCACCGCCCGATGTGGCTTCCAAAGACTCCGCTATACAACAACGTCCCGAGGTCGGTGAGCCTTGGCCGCCCACAAGTCGACTGTGCCCAGGTTTTAGAGATCGTATAGCACGAATTCCAATAGGCCTACTGTCAAGAGCCTGACCCACTTCTCGCTCGAGGTGCCCGACCGAATAGTCATGGCCATCCGTTCCGAGCTCGCTTCGGGCCGACTACCTTCTATCAAGGGAGTACGCGAGAAACGTCTTTGGATGCTCGACTTGGTTGCCGTTTAATGCTGTTATGTGTAGCTAGGTAGGTACATAAGTAGTTCGAAAACCTTTCGGTAGGTGCTTCCACAACAGGCACATCGTTTTATTCCCCATTTACTACTTCCCCGACATGCTGAGCATCATCGTCAAAGCATTGCTTCTGTATCTTCTACCAAACATAACAAGGGCCTCTACCCTCTACCCGACAGCCAAAACAACCAACGGAACCCTCACTGGAATACACAACCCAGACTACAACCAAGACTTCTTCCTCGGCATCCCCTATGCCCAACCCCCAACCGGGCCCCTCCGCTACCGCCGCCCTGCGCCTCTTACCCATCCCTTAGGACAGTTCGATGCAAACAATTATGGACCAGGATGCATTTCCACTTCCATAAACCTACCTGTATTCTCACAAACCTCGCCATCCTATCTCGAAAGCGAAGATTGCCTAACGCTCAATGTCGTCCGACCCGCTGGTCTCAACGAAGGCGCTAAACTTCCCGTTTTACTCTTCATCCACGGCGGTGGTTTCCAAGAAGGCAGTGGTGGGGATCAACGCTATAACATGTCTTTCCTGGGGCAAGAATCAGTCACAGTCGGCGCGCCCATCATCGGCGTCACGATTAACTACCGGCTATCTGGTTTCGGGTTTCTGCCCGGTAGTGCGGTACTGGAGTCCAACGTCGCGAATCTAGGTCTGCACGATCAAAGACTGGCGCTTTGGTGGGTGAGGGAGAATATTGCTGCGTTTGGTGGAGATGCGGAAAAGGTTACTATTCAGGGAGAGTCGGCGGGTGCGATGTCAGTTGGACATCATCTTGTTGCGTATGGGGGACGCGATGAGGGTCTTTTTCGCGCCGCGATTGTGCAGAGTGGTGGACCGGCGGTTGATGCGAGGGGGATGTCGGTGCGAAATCAGGACATCTTTTTCGACAACTTGCTCAGACAGACTGATTGTATGCTCGAGGAGGACACGCTCGACTGCCTGAGAAGTCTACCCGCCGAGGCGCTCAAAGCCGTTTCCCAACATCAATCTTTGATCCCAGTTCAGGACGGCGAGTTCTTTAACGGAAACTCGCGGATGGCTCTGAAGCAGGGCAGATTTGTACGGGTACCTATACTTGCTGGTGCGAACACGAATGAGGGTACTTCTCTCACCATAAGTCAGGGTTTGAAAGGTATAAGTGACCCCACCCAGTTCCGGGCAGTCGTTGCGGGATGGTTAGGTTCTAGCATAGCCAGCACAACGGTGGATAGAATCGCTGCTGAATACCTCGAGCGGATGTCGCCTGCAGATCTACAGAATTCCCTCGGCACTGTGCTGCCATCATTCCGCCCAGAGTACGGCAGTCTCTACGGAAGGACTACCTTGTTCGTAGGCGATCATATCTTCATTGCTGCAAGACGCTTCGCCACAGAGACGTGGGCTGAATATGGCGTTCCTGCTTACAGCTACCGTTTCGACACCGTGGGGAGCGGTGTTTCGGCCGAGACTCTAGGCGCCGCTCACTACACGGAGATTCCGTTCGTGTTTGGCAATGTCGATGGTGTTGGACATGAAGTCAACTTTCTTGCTTCCAACTCTACGGAAGAACGCGACGACTTCGTCAGGCTCAGTAAGCGCATGTGCAGGATGTGGTTGAGCTTTGTTAACGAGCTCTCGCCTAATGCTCATTATGCTCTGGACTCTAGCACAACCTGGCCTGTGTACACAAAAGAGAGCGCAAGGAATATGCTCTTCAGAAAAGGCGGCATCAGTCTGGAAGAAGACACTTGGAGGGCGAGTGCGATTAGTCGGATGAACAGCGCTGCCATCGGTTTGGAAGCCTAGCAAGCTGTTTATACAGAGTTTGTAAATTCGATGGTAGCCCACGCCTGCGACATGAACATGTAGTCAACACGTCCTCGCGAACATGATGCATTAAGATGAAAACATAGGCTAGTGGGTATCATCGAAAAGTCTGGTATAGCCTTCTACCGGTAGCAAAAAGGTCGTAAGATAAGAGTGAATGTAGCACGTCCTCGGCAACACGGGGGAGAATAGTGCAAATAGATCAAGTCGATGACAATATACCCGGCATAAGAGCCGGGCAAATGCGACTTTTCAGTAGTATTACTATAATACACAGGCTTACTAACAGCCTTGATAATTCGCATCGTTCAGTAAAAACTCAAACCCGCCCATCTCAGCCCAGCACAGCTCTCTATCGCATGAAAACAATCAGTCAATCAATCAAGCACGTATATACTGTCATCGCTATCCTCGCCTCCATCTTCATTACGAGGCGACAATCGCTTCTAACGACTTCCCCTCCTCTCTGGGGCTGGACCGGGAACCATGACTTTGAACGGCATCTCACGACCCGCAGCACCTCCGACATTCATCGGTGCGTACGGACTGAAATGCTGTCCTTGCTGCTGCTGGTGTTGTTGCTGAGATGGGGCGGGTGCCAGTACTTGCTGTCCGTTTTGGCCGGTAGTAGCAGCACTCCTAGGCAGTGACTGGCCACTGCTCTTGGGTCTGCCTCCGGCTGGGCTCTGGGGACCGTACGGGCTGGGGTATGTGGGCATGTTCATGGGTGCTGGGGCGAGTTGGCGGGGACCTCCAAACGGTCCGCCTGCTGTGCTCGGGGGTTGGGTAAGGGGAATTCCGCTGTGGGCGTGGGGCGCGTGATGGGGATATGGGCTAGGGAAAGAACCAGTGGGAAGGGCCGCAAGTGGCGAGTACTGCATCATCATGTGTTGTGGTGGAGGCGGTCCGCTGAGGTACATGTAGTGTTGCGGCGGGCCTTGGGTATACTGCAGGTATGCTTCTGGCGGAGGGTGATGTGGACTGTGTTGAGGAGCGTGCTGTGGATGGTGTATCGGAGATGCTTGCTGGGAATGCGAAGGCTGCGATTGCGGTGTAGCGCCAGTCGCCGAGCCTTCAGACTGCCGGGCACCCTTCTGCGTCGCGGATTTTTCGCGCGGATCGGGTGTTGGGGTAATTCCGGCCTGCGCTTCCTCCTCGCGCTTCTTTGCCTTGCGTTCGGCCCACCACATGGTCATGGACTGACTGCGCTTCTCTGATTTTACGCGCGGTTTCCGTCGCGAGCCTGACGCTGGGGATGAGTCGTCCGCGTAGCTGTTGATGGCTGTATACTGACTAAGGGGGGCAGTGAGCATGTACGCGTCAGGAGTACTGGATTCGCTCGGATGCACAAGTGGTACCTCTGTGCTGGGCGCAGAATACTGTAGTGTGCCTTGAAAAACCGTCTCAGCAGAGTTCGGTGCCATGATGGGTATGCCTTCCGGGAACGGCTGGGCATCAATAGTAAACTGACCTTGACCTTCACTCATTGAGTTCAGTGCTGGTGGTGGAGCGTTTGGGCCATGTGCCGAGGGGGCTGGGGTTCCCGATTCGCTCGTCTTCTTTCGTGGGCCTTTCTTTACTCCGAAGTCACTGCGGCGAGCTACATTCTTACTACCGGCTGGACGTCCACGCTTGGGGTTAGCATCTGAATACTCGTCTACGTCCATGGTTGATGAGTCCTCGTCCCCGGAACTACCGACGACTGATTCCTCTCTCATTTCCTGGATGCGTTGATGGAGCAAGTTACTAGCCGTCGTCCGGGCTCGCTTTACGCCTCGTCCTTCTGGTTCTGGCGTCTCCGAAGTTGGCTTCGTGAATCGACTAACACCCTTCTTGCGCGCGCCGCCCCAGCCGTTGTGCTTCTTGGGGGTGTTGGCACCAGTTCCTGTGTCAGTACCGTCAAATTTGCGGGTGGCTCTTCGTTGCCGCTTGGAGGGTCGACCATCACCGTCTTCTTCGTCTTCCTCTTCACTGGGAGCTGCCGACTCAAGCTGGTCCCGTGTACGACGCGTGCGCAGTTCTCTCTTGCCACCCTTGTCCGCGCCTGGTCGCTGTAGGAAAGGATCCTGACAACCGGGTGGCTTCTTTGGGTCGTAGATGTAGCCATAGAGGTCGGCCTCTTTCATGTCCTCGAAGACTTCTGGAGCCAGCGGGATACGTCCACCGTTACAAGCCTTCTTGGCTGGATGCATGTGAGGTGCAGTCTAGAATTGTTAGTGGATACAAATGAGAGGATGACAGCAACATACCCTTGCGTCCAACACGAGATACTCGTCCTGCCAAGCTTTGAGGATCTGTTGCGTGTTCTGCGTCAGAGCGTAGAGATTCTCAGTACTCCGTTGCGCTGCTGGAAACTTCGTCAAGGCGGCAATAGCAGCTTGTACGTCAGTCATCGGCTTGAAGCGCTTCTGCAAGAGGTAGTCTGCTCTATCTTCGCACTCGGCTTCGATCGGAGAAGGCGCGTCTTCGATGAAGGGGTCGGGAAGATCTGACTCGGAGAGCATATCCTCCTCAGGTTCTAGCAGTCTTGGGACTGCAGACTCAGCAGGCGTCGATGCAGAATCTCGCGGTGTCTGTGAGGCTGACTCTGGCAGCGCGATCTTGGGTACCGCAAGCTTGGTGGACCTCCTAGACGTAGGCTCTGGTCTTGACTCGCGTGCCGGCGCTGATGTATGTGAACCGCCTTCGAGTGAGTCTTGACCGGGTGGCGCAGAACCTTGGGGTGTTCTGGATGGTTTCTGTACGACGTCTATGCGATCATACTCGGCCTCGCTCTCGTCATCCTCAATGGCTTCTTCGTTCTCATCATCAGAGCTATGCAGACGGTTGTTGTTGAGTAGTCGCATAGATGGCTTGGCGGTGCCGTTGGGTGTGCTCTGATTGGATGGCTGATCATCATCATCTTCTGTAAGTGGAAACATGGCAGCATTGCGAGATGCTTTTGATGGCGCAGATGAGGTCCCTCTTGAGGTACCGCCGCGACCGCGTCCTCCTCGACTGCCTCTGCCGCGACCGCCTCGACCGCGTCCGCCACGTGAGCCTCGACCACCGCGTCCACGACCTCTTGGCGCTGGCGGAGGCGCAACAGGCACTTCAACCTCACTCTCTTCGGCACTCTCATCTTCAGACTCAGAGGCTTCTTCCGGGGTAGGTGAGCGCTCTGGAAGTGCGCCAACGATAGATTTGCGTTCTTTTGGGAGTTTTCCATGGTGCTTCTTCAAACCGTCAAAGAACTCGGGTGACAGGCCAAAGACCATGAACAACGGGTGCTCGTAAGATGCGTAAATCTCGGACGCGGACGGCGCCTCGAATGAATTACCAGAAATGTTGGAAGCTGAGCGAGTTGTCTTCCTAGTGATGGTAGGACTCAGTTTGGTGGGACTGAATGCTGGTGCAACCGTGTCTGGCGCATCTGGTTCTGATGGGGCTTGTTTTGCTGCTTGACCACGGGTCCGGGAAGGCGTGTCATCTTGCTGCGAATTGCGACGTGTGGCACCGCGCGTAGCCGCACCCCGTGGACGTGGCATCAGGAAGATACGCGGGGCCAATGCAAGTAGTGAATGTTGTGTTGAGTTTGATGTGGGTGTACCTGTCGGGACAATGTCTCCATGTAGGGGCCGAAGGGGCGTAGCGCGAATCGCAAGCCTTCAGGGTGACAAAAGCTGTGAGCGAAGAAGATGAACAGAACCTTGCGCTTCCGCAAAGAGCGCGCGCAAATAAAAGCTAGCAGGTGATAGAGGGTATCTTGAAAAGGAAATGGGAAATGGAATAGTCAGTGAATCGAGTGTGATGATCTTTGTTACGGGGCGTGGCTGCTTCAGCAAAAGCGAGCCGAACCATGATCGCGCTTGGCGCATGCGCAGGCAGCCAATGACATCAACACGCTAAACTGACTGGCATCTAGCTGTCAGATGGTCCAAACAAGACGGCCATGACTTGATGTTTGCAGTGATATCCGCCGACTGTATACGCCTCCGCTCTCTCAGTGACTCGTGACCGTGGCCACTATCACCTTGAACTAGTCTCCTCATCTTCCATCCATCATGCCGCCCAAGACAGCTGACGAGGAGCTCGCGGAACTGGAAGCTCTGGCTGGAGAGACTCCCGCACCCCCGCCGAAGCATGCCAAAGGGTCCCGCGCACCACGCCAGAAGATCCAGCGGCAAGAGGATGAAGATGCTCTGAAGGACCTGGACGAGCTGGAGCAATTGGGCAAGGCTCAACCAGCAGCTCCCCGCCAGATCAGCCGCCCAAACACACCCAAAGTAGCCTCGTCGTCGACTACATCCAGCGGCCGCCGCGCACCAGGCGTAGCTACTCCCTCTTCCACTGGATCAGCACGTACAAGCGAAGACAACCGACCTTCAGTGCCGAGGAAATCAGGGGAGAGTACTCGTTCGTACCACCAGAGCTTCGCGCCAACCCGAGAGGAGCCCGCCAAACAACAAGCACCAGAGCCCCTGGAGGAGAAACAGTCGGGAAGCTCTTGGTGGGGAGGTGGATGGGGAGGACTTGTATCCACAGCCACTGCAGCAGCAGAGACAGCGAGGAAGCAAGCCGAAGCCGCCTACCAAGAGATTCAAAAGAACCAAGAAGCCCAGCGATGGGCGGAGCAAGTACGGGGGAACGTTGGTGCTCTTCGCGGCATTGGTACAATTCCATTTCCCACCATGTCATCTCAGTCTAACATGCTACAGGAGGTGAACTCGGCAAGCGTGCCGTGCCTACCTTTACCAACATTCTAAACACCCTCGCACCACCCATCTCACAGCATGAACGCCTCCAGATCCATATCACACACGACCTCATCGGGTACCCCTCGCTCGACCCCCTCATCTACCAGACCTTCGCCGGCGTCATGGCACAAGTAGAAGGCGGAGACCTCATGGTCATCCAACGCGGCTCCGAGTCAACACAGCGCGGATCATTGGACGGCTACCGGGGAGGCGGTGGGGGCTGGAACGACGGGCCATGGTGGCGACACACCGACAAGCGCGACCTCTCAGTGGTCAAAGGGCTTGTAGAAGGCACAAAGCTCGCACGCGTCAGCGCAGAGTCCTACGCCAACGAGTTCTTCGGTGCAAGAGGAGGCGTTGAAGAAGCCGCCAAGCAAGCGACAGAGGTCCTAAGCGAAACAAACCCAGTCAGGAGCAGCGACATCTTTATTGCGATCCAAGCTATCAGCTATCCCGTACAAGACGAACTCTTCGCTACATCCTCCTCAGAAGAAAAGTCCGATGTGGAAGAACAAAAGGAGGACGGGGAGGAGGTGGCTTTCGCTATCTACCTGCACGACCCTATCCACGGCATCTCTTTCAAGTCCATCAGCCAGTCTTTCCCGTCGAAATGGGTCGACTGGTTAGATGCGCCGGCCAATACCGAGGCTGAGGGCGAGGAGCAACAACTACCGCAGGAGTTTTACGAGATTATCGAGAGCGGTGGTGTGGATCCGCGGGAGTGGGTTAGTGAGTGGATGGAGGAGACGATAAACTTGAGTGTGGGTATCGTTGCACAGCGCTATGTAGCAAGAAGGATGGGTGTCGGAGAGGGTGGTTTGGGCAGAGGAAAGGCGAGGGAAGCTGTGGTGGATGCTGGGGGTGGTGAAGCTGCACGAGCGGGCATCATTTGAGGGCGTGGCATGGACTTGATCGTTTCTTTTATTTCTCTGGTCGCGGCAAGGCGCTGGGATATGCTACCTGAATACTCACTGGATGAGCTCGGCATTTGCCTCGCGAATAGACAATGTTGTTCAACACATGATCTCTTCGGCTTCCATCCCATGTCCTTCAAGTATGCCTTCTGTCGTTGATTCCTTCCGGTAATCACTAATGGCCTGGCTTCTATCGCGTGATACCGATCGCACAAGGCTGATCTTTTCACACGCTGAACACCATTCTCGCTGTCCATGAAGCCGATCTCGCGTCGGGGCGTATTACTTCATGTCACACCTCCGAAGCCCCAGGTCATATCCTACGCGCCTTGCCAGATATCCTCCACGAAGTCCACATTTCAACCACTCTTCTTCTTGTCACCGGGCTCCCTCTTATCCCTCTTTCCCCCCTTGAGGATCTCGAGATGCCCCGCCTTCTGCGCAAGCATCTTCTCTGTATTGCCCACGAGCCCTGAACTGCTCTTGTGCTTGATCTTGTTTTGTGTGATGATGGACGCTTTCTTGGGCTTGATGACGCGGGCGCCGGTTTGTTTGCGCGCGACCGAGGATCTAGAGATCAAATGTTAGTATGCGTGTTGGGAGAACAGTTTGCGTTTGGTGGAGTGTTGAGCGCGGAGATAGAACGCACTTCTTCGGAGGAGCGGCCTTGGTCTTCTTGATTGCACCTTGGGCCATTGCGACTGTCGGTATTAGACGCGTGCGTGGGGTCGAGTATGCGGAGGTTTGACAAAAGTCGGAGCGTCTTGGACTCGCTTCCGGAACGGTGAAGGAAGGCTTAGTCGGGTGATTGATCTCCGAACACGACTAATCACACGATAGTATCCAAATCTCCACTAATCGAGTCGGACGTTGCTGTGGCGCTATTGGGGGTAAGACGGCTGTCTGTTTCTTTGGATAATTCGCGCTTCCAACATTTTTCGCGATGCTTGGCGCCCTGCCGCCGCACTAGGCCCAGAGTGGTTTGAGCAGTTTGCGGGGGACTGCATTTAGCCTTTTCACCCACCGTGGGGAGTCCGCTCCATGAGCCCGTAGACCCGTTTTCCAAGCCCTTTCGCGCTTCGCACCCTGCGTTTCTTTTGGAAATCTCCGTGTGCAGAGAGGGGGATCAGGCGGCTACCTACCTGTCATCAAGGGAAAGCCTGGCGAACTGGCACGGAACAATTTCTGCGTCGTCTCAGCATCCCAGAGATGGTATCCGATTGTCTGGACGCCGAGTTGGTACCAATTAATCGCACAGCGCCTTTGCTACCGACTTTCCATGTGCAGTGCATGGATCCGGATATTTGCATGCTGCACGTGTCCTCCGACCTACCGCCAAGACTGCTTGCTTGCCCTTCTAGAAGTCTTGCAGCGACAAGGCGACTGGCTCATGTACGTCACGTCAATTTAGCCATAGAACAACCGGTCCCGGCTGGGGTAAAGCGACTAGGGTCCCTCAATATCGGGCCGTTGGCCAGCAACTGCATGCTGTTCCTGGATATGCAGTCGCTGCTAGACAGTTCACAGGAAGGTGGTCATTCGATGTACGAACATGCACGATGACTACTCGACTAAACGGTTAGGGCGGTGGGGATCTCTTGGTAACTATGGGGTTACCGTCGTGGCTATCACCGCGGCGTATGGTCTGGGGAAGCCATTCAAAAGCTGGGGATTCTCCGCGTTTTTGTTCACTGTTCAGGACGTTGCTCGACTACTGACCAAGCCATCATGGAGCTCTTCTCTCGCACCGTGGTCAGCGCCCTGTCGCTTTCCATCGCCTTTGCTGGCTCGGCTTCTGCTCTCGAGGCCTTCCGCAAGCCTACTGTTTCTTCTACAGAAGGCGATGGCTCTTCTCTTCTCGCCGCTCGTGGCTCTCCTGTCAGCATCCATGCTGATGCTGCGGATTGGCCTGGTGTTCTGCGCGCTGCTCACGACCTTGCTATCGACTTCGGACGCGTTACCGGTACCAATGGTACCCTTGTGACTTCGGGAACGCCAACGGCTAACGCTTCCATGATCTTCAATGTCACTGGAATCAGCGAAGACTGGAGCGTTAGTGGCAGTGCTGCGTCCAACTCATCTGCTGGCACCATCATCGTGGGAACCATTGGCAACTCAAGCCTGATCGACGAGATGATCGCCAGCGGACAGCTCGACGTCAGCGAGATTGAGGGTCAATGGGAGTCCTACGTTAGTGCGGTGGTGAAGCAGGCTGGAAACATGACTGGCGACGCACTTGTCATTGCTGGTATGTATCTCGAGATTGGTCTTGAAGCTCGACGCTAACTCTTTATAGGCAGCGATCGCCGTGGTGCCATCTACGGTATCTACGATATCTCTGAGCAAATCGGTGTCTCGCCATGGCACTGGTTCGCCGACGTACCTGCGAAGAAACACGACTCCATCTACATGCTCCAAACCACCAAGGTCCAGAAGACTCCATCTGTCAAGTACCGAGGTTTCTTCATCAACGACGAGGCCCCTGCTCTGACCGGCTGGGCCAATGACCGCTACCCTCAGTCTCCGTATGGCGCACCTTTCGGAGCTCAGTTCTACTCCAAGGTCTTCGAACTGCTGCTCCGCTCCAAGGCCAACTACCTCTGGCCGGCTATGTGGAACGGCATGTTCAACGTCGACGATGCCCGCAACCAGCCGCTTGCCGACGAGTACGGTATCGTGATGGGAACATCTCACACTGAGCCCATGGTTCGTGCCACCCAGGAATGGAGTAAGGTCGCCAAGGGTGCCGAATCTGGCTGGTCTTGGGCGACCAACAACGCTACTCTCTACGACTACTTCATGGAGGGTGCCGTGCGCGCTGCTCCCTACGAGAACGTCGTCACTGTCGGTATGCGCGGATACCACGACACTGCTATG